GCCCAGCAGCCTTTCTGGTGTTGAAATGGGGGGTGGATGGGGGGATGCAGAGGATTGCACTGGATCAATCTGCTTTTTTATAGAACACAGGACCACCAGCCCAGGGATGGCACCACCCATAATGGACTGCCCCCCACATCGAGCACTAATTGAGAAAATGCCTTACAAAAGTACTACCAAGAAATAAAAATTCCAACACTGCATAATTTTCAGACTTTAAATTACTTGAAATTCCCCATGATATAAGGTCGGTGCTAGAGACATTGGTAAGTAATTAACAATCCTTCTATCTTACTAAGGATATCTGAATCATTTGTCTAATGTATTCATCATGTTTGAAAAAACTACTCCTCTGTGAGTATATGTGTCTGTCTGTGTCTTTGCTTGAGACTACTTCTCTGTTCTGTGATCCTGTAGCTAACATGTCCCTGCAAATATATACATGTGTGTATGCATACCTGTTGCAAGGCATCAATCCCCAAACCTTAAAGATACTAGGCAAATATGCTTCCACTGAACTAATGCTCCCTCCACACACACACACACACACACACACACACACACACACATACACCTTGAATCCATTTGGAAATCACTGTAGTATGGATTTTTCTTATTTTTGTCTCTGATTATCCATTTACCCTAACACTATATATTGATTTATACCTCAAAAACATCTCATGTTCTGTCTCAACCAGGGCCACAGGCATGTTGCACTTGAGTCCTTTCAAGACCCCTAGTTGGCTCCCCTCAGCAGTAGGGCTTTTTTTTCTCATTGCACTCCACATATAGAAGGATCCTGTCACTTTTCTACTTAAATCCTTTTGAATGGTGTTCCCCTGCACTCAGAATGAAATCCAAATTTCTTAAAATGTTAACAACTAGAGTGGTTGTATCATTCATCTCCCTAATAGAGTAGCCACTGATGGTAAAAGAAAGACTATTAAAAACAACACTGGAATTGCAGTCTAGAGTGGGCAAGCCCAGCCTCAGGCTTCTGCCTGTCCTCTAGCACACAGTGCTGTCTGGCCAATGGGTCTCATTTTGTAGCTTCAAGCTTTGCAACATCTTTTTATTAAGACTTCATGCACTATTCAACTTTACCTAGCACATTTATTTACTCTTCCCATCCCACTCACAACCCACTATGGATTTCTTTGCCCTCTTCTGTCTATCTCAGGCTCACCCAACAAGCCACTTCTCCAACCCAAATACGCATTTCATTTGCTGTGTTTCTTTGCTCAGTGGGCTCCTCTCCTACCACCTTCATTTTTTGCCAAGTTATACCTCTACAAGTTATACCCAGAGGGTATGGCACAGAACAAGCACTAAATAGATTACTACTAACAGGCGATGGATGAAGATGTATCTCATTTCATTTGCAAATTACCAAAGATAAGCTATGAAACTTACCCAAGATAAAGGTGGCAGACTTGTGAGGTCTATATTATTATTCTATAGTGACCATGTATTTGATTGCACATGTCTTAGGACGTTTAAAAAAAAAGTCTTACTACTCTGGGGGTATATCTCAGGTCTTTCCTCAATATTGTGAATTAATTGAAACAGAACAGCAGTCTAAAATTAAGTAATTTCTTTCATCCACTAAAAACTTAAAAAGTGTTTACAGTATATCAGAATTGCATATATAGATGTTGTATTCTTGCTTCCCAAGATTAATAGAATTAAGATAATAGAATTAAGTAGTTATATTCTAAAAAACCTGAAATTTGTTTTAAAGATATGCTTTTAAAAACAATTATCCATAAAAGTGACAGTCAAGAGGGAATAACTATATAAATTCCTTCAAGGAGACTACTGTCAAACGTTAAGACAACAACAGAAGAAAACTACTCTCTTCACAAACCTGGCTAGCTACAGAGTGGGGCTGCTCACTAAAATACCAGGTGTGGCTTCCATCTACTCTCCATGTGCATTTTTGAAAATACATCTTTCATGCTAACCTTACATCCAGGTTTTGGTCATACTGAATATAAACATAAAACTAAAGAGATTACCCATCTAACATATTTTCCACATGACGAAGTTTAATTATTCAGTCACTATGACATTTTTAGATATTTGCAATGTCATTGAATAACACTTGACTTTTTAACCAAATATCATCTTCTACCCAGAACAACGTCCGTATTATTAGCTACTTTTATTTCAAACACTATTGGCTAGAATAGCACATCTTTTACTTTCCATCCAAAGCATTGCTTTCAACTTCTTAGTATTTTTGAGCCAAGACCACGGTCTCACCAAGCAATTTAACCATCTTTTCACAGCTCACCACACCCTGCCATGGCTGGTGAAAATTACTAACGGGTATTATAAAACCAAGTGAAGCAATCTTCGGAGCATAGTCTGACTGGAAACCTCCTTCCTGAAGCACCTTAACATCAAACAACATTTGCTCCAATCTTATCCTGTTTTGGAATTAAAATTTAACTTCCTGGCAAATCAGGCTGCCAAGAGGTGGTGGTGCACGCCTTTAATCCCAACAATTGGGAGGCTGAGGCAGGCAGATTTCTGTGAGTTCAGAGCCAGCCTGGTCTACAGAGCAAGTTCCAGGACACGGTTCAAAGCTACACAGAGAAACCTTATCTTAAAATCATCATCATCATTATCATCATCATCATCATCATCATAATTAAAACCTCAATTAGGCTTGTGGTACCATTTATAGTCCATTTACTCTTTACAATCATGTATTTGTACATTTTCTCTAGGGATTAGACATTATAGTCTGTGCATATTTTACTTCAACTCTGATTCAACACAATTTTTTTCAAATGTAAACTGAAGAATGAATAGAGAATGGCTCCAAAAGACATTTCTCCCAGAAGGGTAATATCATGTTTTCACCTTGGAGGAGTTGGTGGTGGGTAATCAATGTTATCAAAGTACATTCTATGGAGTTCTCAAAGAATTAATAAAGTCCTCTCTGCAGACCCCTCATCATGCTATACAGAGTGGTTATCTCTAATGACGTTTCACCTCAGACTTGAAAGACTGCTCTTCCACTACAGGCTATGGTGGTGTAACTCTCATGAGTAAGCTCTCTTGGAAAGTAATACATCTTAGCTTTCCTCTTCTATTAAGCACTTGCTTATTCTGACACCTAGGTTTCCCTCTACTATAACGAATATGTGAACATATTAGTGCTTCTGCATGCATCCTCTTCCAACAAGATTTGTCATGAATCAGTCCTCCTCCAAACCTTCACAGGCAAGGAACTCACCAGATGAGGGACCTCTAACTGCCTCTTCCACAGCCTCCTCTCTAGTGTTGGAGTGATTGAGAAAACAAGTGCTCAGTGTGAAGGAGTCCCTGTTCACCTTGTTTTCTTTTCTGTTGGTGGTGATGATGCTGTTTTTGGTGGTGATGATGCTGTTTGCCACTTTAGACATGCCAGAGCCTGCAAGGGTCCTTGAGACCAGAGTAAACATTAGACTAGAAAGAGATGACTCATGTTTCTGGTAGATGAAGTGCTTCTGTTCCATGGGACTAAATGCCTGCCATGGCCTACTTTAATTTTTCATTCATCTCCACTAGTCTTACAGTTGAAAACTTGTGGAAATGGTGATCTTTTTTCCTTCATTTTTGACAGAACTCTAAATGTCATGTTACTTTAAGTGTTTGGTGGAAAGCAGAAGGCTGCAATGCAGGAGGCATTTCAAATAAGCATCAGCCTGACTTACACCATCCACAGAAATAAGCTTAGGAATTCTGCCATAAAAACAGAAAAGTGACTATGGGGACTTTCCCTTTGAGCCATCTGTACAGGTAAACAGCTAGCGTCTAATACTTCAGTGTGTGCACTGTAATCCCTTAGGCATTTCTCCTCTGAAATAAAACTCAAGCATTATCACAATTCCCATCTCCCAGCTTCTGTCACCACTTGTGCTGACAGTCTACAGAGTCATTGAGGGAACACTGAGGTCAAAAGTTTTAGAAACATAAGAAGATTTTAAGCCATTTGCTGGATAGTGTAGCATCAACAGAAGTTTTCTGGCATTAAATTTAGGAATAAATGAAGCTACTTCAGAAATGTTCCAGTATCACTTGAGTACTGATAAGTGAAGCTACATGGGATAAATTCTCCATAGATCCTCTATGAACGTGAGCATTTCTGCTTGGTATTTCATTGCATTTTAGAATCTTCAGCTTGTCTTGTTTTACATTTTGGCATCTGAAAATAAAACCTACTTTTATGGGAAAAAAAGAACTAATAAAATACTATTTAACAAGAAATCTCACTCAATATCCTATGATTATCAGTATTCATCACAAAATAATCCATCATTTAAGTATGGAATTCAGATGAGACAATATTTTATACTAAATGGCAACAGTGTTGTGTCCAAAATGAATACATTACAGGACTTTGCATAGTCAGATTTTGTGCATTCACAAGCAGGAAAACTATGAATCATCTTCTCTGGATATATCTCATCTGGAGAACAGACAATGCTAAAATTATGAAGTAGTAGAGAACTGAGGTCTGGCCACCGACGTCACACAATTATACTTGAAAACTGCTCTGCTCTGTAACATGGAATGGCATCATGAAACATGAACCAGAAAGAACAGGAAGTGGGAGACACTGATAAGGAAGGAGGACTAGAAACGCTGAAATCCTCCTGTAGAGAAGCACCTGTCATCAGTTAGCCAAGGAGAATGAATTAGTCAGGCCGAAGTCACCACAGGGTCTCTTGTTGTATATCCACTACATCAAGGGATACCTGACTTAACAAAGCAAATCAAACTTGTTAACTCTGGTTCTGGCTTGCAATTTCAGTTCTGTACAGCTAAGCACTTCATCATAATCTTTAAGAAGCACATTTCTTTCTCCTTGATATGGTTTAGTGTGCTGGGAGACTATACCATTTGAATGAACATTGACTTGAAGCGGCAAGCATGAAGCAACTCGCCCACAAGCCCCGTGAGCAGCCTGTGGGAAGGTGTACACTACAGGTGCGGCATGTTCTCACCTTCACGTTGGGTTTTGACAGCAGTTTCAGCAGCTCTCTGACCTCACTGTTTAGCGGCTTGTTCTGTAGCTCTTCAGCCAGCTGCAGGGGAGATCACACCAATGTGAGTAACAGTTCGCAGAACACCACAAGGTTCGTCGTGTCACAATTGAATGTGGTCTGCTCGAAGCTATTATTGCTTTCCAGAGCTACAGGATAAGTCAGCATGAAATGAAGCAGACCATCAACCCGTACCTTTCCTTCCAGGCCCACAGCAGACCAGATCTAAGCCTAGGCTGAGTACAACTGTAGCAATCCCATCAGCCAGTTCACCTTCTGACTTACTGCCAGGAGGGCAAATCCCAGCACTTCATCTGCATGAATGGTCTTCTGCACACAGACAAAGGGCCATTTGTAAAAAGGACTGGATCAGCTCTGACAGTGTACAAGAAAGCAAAAAAGACAGCTTCTGAATGAGGTGGTGAAATCCTCTGGACTTCCAGAAACCTTCAGTAGTTGTGCTGTTCAGAGCTGGGCTAAAACGAACTTGAATGCTCCTAACAGAGTCAATGGCCTGCAGCTTTTACTATGTTTCTGTACACAGTCTACAAAGTCTATTAAATATGAGCCAAGTTCATCATGAACCCATAACAGTTCTGCAACCACTATGGGACCAACAATGCCCATGTTACTTTATTGTAACGATCAAGAATGCTTACCTGTTGGTCCAAAAGAAAAGACTGGAATTTTGAACCTGACCGACTCTTGCTCTCCACTAAGAGGTGTGTAATGTTCTCACCATAAAGAAGTATGTTGAGGTGGCAAACAAGCTAACTACCTTGAGTTGATCCTTATGAAATGTGTGTGTTCAAATGTACTAAACCACTTCCCATAAATATATACAATTACCATTTGACAATTATAAACAAGGTAAAAAAATGTCAAAAGAGAACTTCCCAGCAAGATTTCTAGTCAATTTTAGGCTATAAGAAACACACACACACACACACACACACACACACACACACACACACACATACACACACACACACACCAAGTTTCAAACAGAATACAAAGATTAGAATCATGAAGTATATTGGTGTGTTATCAGAATATATATTCAATATCTCTTCTTAGAACACAACATGGAACTGCCATTGCCACTACTGCCCCCACAATACATCCAGGACAAGGTGACTCTGTCTATGGAAGAGGTACCTTTCTGTAGAGGTACAATATATAGATTATACAGAAGTCGAGAGTCAGAGGAAATTGATTGATTCATCAATTACTCTACAAAATAGCTTTTATTTCAATATACAAAATTTTAACATAATTTTTACCCTATAAAACAGCTCTTTACTCATTATATCCACATGTTTTAACATTTAGATCCACTACTCCAGTGAATTAAACACCATGGTTTATCATAATTACACAGATTTTAATGTGTGTTTATTTCTGGATGTTCTGGAGCTTGAATCCATGGCATCTCACCTGCTTGTGACACACTCTGATGCTGAGTGATATCCCCTGCTTTGGATTCTTTTTAATTTAACAAGCAAAAGCAAAATTGGTGTCTGGAGAGAAGGCTCAGCAGTTAAGAGTGTCTGTTGCTCTTCTAGAAGACCTGAGTTTGGTTCTCAACACCCACATCAGGCAGCTCACAACCCCTTGCAACTCCAGCTCAGAGGATCAGATACCCTCCATCTGCCTCCCGCAACACACACACACACACACACACACACACACACACACACACCACACTGCAAATAAAAAAATGGCTCTGTGTTTTCATATTGGTTTTTAAGACACTTTCAAGTTTCAGCTGCAGCATACAACTACCTTTACACCTTTATTTACCTTTAAAAAGTCTTGAAAAGAGATACCTTAATAGAGGGAGCCAGTATAGGTTTAAAGAGAAACCTGGCACTAGGGAAATGTTCAGAGATCCACAAAGATGACCCCAATTAAGAATCTAGGCAGCAGTGGTGGAGAGGCTGCCTTTGATGCCCTTCCCCTATAATGAGATTGATGACTACTTTAATTGCCATCATAGAACCTTCATCCAATAGCTAATGGAAGCAGAAGCAGGCACCCACAGATAAGCACTGAGCCATACTCCTGGAATCCAGTTGTAGAGAGGGAGGAGGGATAAGCAAAGGAGTCAGGACCGTTCTGGAGAAACCGACCTAGTAAGAGCACAGGGACCCCAGTGGTAAAGCTGGGGAACCAGCATTGGACCGAACCAAGCTGTGTGAATGTGGGTACCAGCTAGGAGGCCTGGGAAGTCTATGGGACCTCTCACAGTGGAACCAGTATTTATCCCCAGTGCACAAATGGACTTTGGGAGCCCATTCCCCATGGAGGGATACTATTTCAGCCCAGATACATGGAAGAGGGCCTGGGTCCTGATGTGACAGACTTTGATGATTTCCCCATGGAAGGCCTCACTATCCTTGGGGAGTGGGTGGGGGGTGGGTTGGAGAGGACTGCAGGATGGGAGGGAGAGGGAATGGGAGGATTGATATGTAAAATAAGATTTTTTTCTAAATAAAAAATATTTATTAATGTTTAAAAAAAAGTCTGGGTTCTGTGCTGCACAAGTACACTTCTTTACAGGATGTGCTAAAACACACTCATGTATGCAGAGAAACACAAAAGGGACATGCCTAGAGCTACTCGGTCCTCAACTAGGGATGTTCATTAGAGGGGCTTTATTTTACATATTAGGACATAAAAACAACTTTGGAAGATGGTTGATCTGTTTACTATATTGGGGCCCTGACATTCCACAACACCGAGTGATTGTTTTACACAACAAGAGCACAACTGAAGAGCAACAAATAAGCTAGAGCAATCCCTCCCACACACCGGCACACTCTTGTCTCGCTCTGCGCCTTCACAGTTTATCCAGGTGTGTTCTCAATTCAGCTGAGGCTGAAAGTTAACAGTCGGAATCAGCAAGTGAGTTCTCCTTCCCCAGGCTTAAAATAAAATTATAGCGACAGGAAATTAACTACTCCATCAATGCCAAATGCTTCTAAAATTTATTTTTTGGTTATGAAGGTAATTTGGAATGGTCTAATATCCATAAATCATTACTATACTCCACAATCCATTTTAAAAACAATCCTGCCTTTTATGGGTTTAATATGCCCAGTTCCTATCCTAGTATCTGTCATTTTTGGTACTGTCAGCAAGGTAACTATCTCATTTGTCTTTATTTCTCCAAAGCATTCCCCTTGTGTGACTTTCAGAGAACACTGATGTCAGATGGTTTTTCTCTGCATAAAATTTGAAGCCTACAATTTCTATTACATAGTCACCAAGGCATAATACCAGGGTAGCTTTATGCACAATTTTAGAAAAAGAAAGTGGATAGAAATCCACACAGCGTCAGCACAAGCTTGGCGATGACAGGGATTTGGGAAACATTAGTGACTTCTAGTTTTCACTCAAAGGATCACACACATCTGTCTGCAAAGGGGTGGGTCCCATTTGGGAAGGTCTGTGGCTGACACATCCTACAAACCCAGAAAGGCACACTTACATCATCAGCCAAGGCTGCTGCACCATGGAGAATGGGCACCGGGCTCTGCTTCTCATAGTAGTGAAGTTTTTCATGAATCTGGAAGAAAATGAGAACAGTATGAGTTCACCTGCTGGCAAAGCATCATAGATACTTAAAACACTGTGAACAGAATCGGGTCACTCCATCATTTTTAAGTCATGTGTTCAAATCCACCCAGAAGATGGCAGAGATGTGTGTGTAACCCATCAACTGCTACCAAGGGTCAAATGGCAAAGGCATCCTCAAACAGAATACATAAAAGCACTAACCCTTGGTTTCTCCTCTTAAACAGAGCCCACTGTTTGTGAGCTACACTGCCTCAAGATTTCATGTATCATTTGTAGCATATGCTCCCACAAAACAACAACAAAAATCAACTATAAACAAAACAAAGCAGTAAGTAGCAGCCCCATTCTGACTGGTTGCTCTGCAGGAGCTGCAAATAGGGTAGGTGGGGGGAGGAGCAGGCTCTAGGGGCTGAGGAAGCCAGGCACACATGCACCCTACCGAGTATGCCTTCCAACAACTTACTATCCCACTGCCATTGTTGTCACTTCCCAAATTCAACTCTCAAAGAAACTAAGGGAGTTCTCTTGACCTCAGACATCTTCACTATTTGGGTTAAATAACACCATGCCTCATACTGTAAAACAAGTAAATAATATTAAAAAGTAAAACCAACCCTGCTTCCAATGTCTCATCAGCATGACCTAAGAAATGCATGCAAGAATGTATTTTAATGCAGTATTAGGCAAACTGGGTTTCTTTACAAATATTTGGGCTGGAGAGATGGCTCAGCACTTAAGAGTGCATAATGCTTTTGCAGCAGATGCAAGTTCAAATCCCAGCACCCATATCAGGCATCTCACAACCACCTATGACACCAGCTCCACACCTCTGCCTTCTGCCACCTGCACATATTGACAGGCACACATATACCCATGCATGCAGACACAAATGATATAATACACCTTTTAAATGCGTTGTGGTATGGAAAGGGAAACCTTCTTTGACCCATGTGTGCAGTGACCACCCTCATTTATGGTTTCTTGGCTTTGAAAATACTCCAGAACTTAAGAGTTAAAACTATCCTCTCCTGTGTCTGAAAAACAATGTCTCACCATCTCCTTTTAATTACACTCAAAGCTAGCCAACCCCTTGTAGGAGTCTGCAAGAGAGATTTTATTTTGATTGGCTAGACACTCCCGCTGAGAGCAGATCCTATTACTTTTGGCAACTTGGTATAAAAGGTAGGACACCAGGGAAAGGCTTGGGACAGTTATGGCATTACCAGAATGAGCAGAGTAAATTGTTTTTTAATTTAATATCTTGGAACCTTTAAGTTTAAATATTTATCACAAATTGCAAAGAATGTAAGAAATGAAATCATTTTTAGGAAACCATGAAATTATGATTTGAAACAAAACTCAGGCATGCTGAAAGCTAAATTTATTTTACTTAAACAATTACCTAGCACTAGGGCTGCTCTGTCTTATCCAACTGTAAGACACTACCTTAGACCACTATAAAAATCACCTAGCTTTACTACAGTCGCTTTTCAGAATGCTTCCTGCTGAAGCAAGAGGCTTACACTTAAGAGGTACATCTTTAATCCCGACACTTAGTAGGATCACAAGTTCAGGGTCATTTTCAGCTGTATACACTACTGTCTCAAAAAAAAAATGTTCATTTTTATATGCAACCAATATTGAAAGAAAGCTATAGTCACCTTCAAATGGAAATCTGGTGTCAATGTCTGATGTTAGTTACACATGTAACCTGAAATGAAGCTTCAATCGTCAAATGATACATGGAACTTAGTAAGTAGTTGCCATGCAGACATTGAAACTAAACTCCTCCATGACTGTACAGGGGCATTTAAACTGGGGGAGTAGCACTGATTAAATAAGCCATACCTGTGATCTTTCACCTGGTTTTTAGTTACTAAAATACTGACTCTTTCTCAGGACATGTTTAGGCAGCCACATTGGTGAGACTTCACAGTTAGCTCCTGACATTTCTGAACAAGGATGATACCAATAGGCAGGCTAATGTGGACAGGGGTGGAGGCTCACAAAGTCTCCACCCTACACAAAGATCTGCAGACAACTGATGAATGGTAGGAGCAAGAGAAAGTCTTCCACAGGGAAGAGTATACCAACTGGTTATCTATCCAATGCCAAATAGCCATGAAAATATACACTTAAAAGTAATATTATGCAGACTGAGCAGGTGATATTTATGTATTTAGAAATAAACATAACACCATCACCACCACCACCACCAACAACAACAGTTAAAGAAAAAGAGGCCTTGAATTTGAAAGAGAGCAAAGAACAGGGTACACTTGGGAGGGCTTAGAGTAAGGAAATGGAAGGTGGAAATGTTATTATAATCTTAATTTTTTAATTGTTTAAAGAAAGAAACACTGGTACTGCCCGACTGATAATTTTGCTCCGGTGCTCCCACTGCCCTCCTGCTAGCTCCATCCTGCACACAGAAACCTCTCTGCTTACTTTCTTCTGTTTTGTTGTCATCTGTACCATTTTTTTTTTTTTCAGAGATAAGGTCTCTCTGTAACCCTGACTGGCCTTAAGCTTGCAGTCTCTGAGTCTCCCAAGCACTAGAATTACAGGTGTGCACTACTGCCCTGGCTACTTTAATAAAAAAGAACATTATAGCGTGGAAGAGTTGGAAATTATTAGGATTGGGGGTACTTTATTTTCCGCAGCAATAATGGACTCTACTACTTTTTTTGTAAGTAATGGAAATGTCAAGGGCCAATGGGATGGAAGACAATAAAAATAAAAATAAAAAAGGGAAATCTTAAGCCTCCAAATACAACAAAACCATTGTGCAAAAGTGACAGAGCCAGCTCTCCGCTCGCTCCCCTTTCAGATCTGATGCTGCTAACAGTCCATGTTTGGGCCTAAAAACAGCACTGATAAGATCCCACATCCTGTTCTAATATGACACTTTACTGCCTCACCTAATAAGTACACACTACCATGTGAACGCAGCATTAGGAATTCATCAAGAATATTTAAAAGTATTCAGTTTTGCCCCACTGTCTTTTGAGCAAACACCACTCTACTATACTTTTACTTTCTGTTGAACTCCTCTGTTTTATTTTATCTTTAGAATTTCGGTATTAATCTACTTGAGACCAACATTTGCTTTCTGGCATCGTCTTTATTGATTCTAAGTGCCCAGTGTTATATTTATTAATGTGCTTATTTTATCCTTAACTTGATGCACTGAAGAGTCACCTGAAGAGAGAAAACCTCAATGGAGGAACTGCTCAGATCAGACTGGTGTGTGGGAGTGTCTGTGAGAGACTGTGATGATTAAAGTTTGATGTAGGTACACTATGGGTGTACCTACTCCTAGGCAGGTGGCTCTGGGCTGTGTAAAATAAGCTAGCTGAACATGAACCATAGAGAAAGCTAGTAAGCAGCATCCTCCACCATGAAGAAATTCAGTTCTTGCTTGAGCTCCTGTGGTGACTTCTAGTGATGGTCTGTGACCTGGTTGTGTGTGTTGAAATAAACCCTTTCCTCCATAAGTTGCTACTAGCCATGGTATTTATCACGGCAACAAAAATGTAACTAGAACAACTGGTTTTAAAATTGTGAAATCGGCCGGGCGTTGGGAGTGCACGCCTTTAATCCCAGCACTCGGGAGGCAGAAGCAGGCGGATCTCTGTGAGTTCAAGGCCAGTCAGTGCCAGGACAGGCTCCAAAGCTACACACAGAAACCCTGTCTCGAAAAACAACAACAACAACAAACAAAACAAAACAAAACAAAAAGTGAAAGCGTTCCATTTTTTGATGTGTTTTGAAAACACCTCCTGCATTTCATTCTCCTGTTTCAACACCCAGTGCTGGTCTTCAAATCACTGGGCCTGATGTATTTTGGAAAGGAACTTTCTTTGTTAGTGTAATTTCTCCCTTTAAAGACTCCTCTCTCTTCCATGAGTTGCAGAAAACAGTACGTCCTAGAGAACAACTCATTTCTCCTGTGGCTGTTTAAAAATTTCCCCGATCTACTTAAGGAAAAAACACTCTTAAAACTTACTGAATTTTCTTTTACCCTTTTCTACATTACAATTTCTTCTCAGTGTATCTCTGCTTTGCCTTTCATCCCTCCACTCTTTATATATTGCCAGGGAAGCATGTTTTAAGTTATTCTATCATTTCTCTTTTCTATTTTTTTATTTTTCTATTTTTACCTTAATTCTTTCTTTCTCTCAACCTTAAAGTTAAATCATGCGCATCATAAAAATTATTGGCAAACAAAAGGTAAACCATACTACTCTGAATTCTGCTTGTTTATAAAGACATTGACTGAAACATATATTCCATGAGGATCCTGAGCCAATCTAAAAATAACATGTATCAAGAGCATAGGCATCCTTAACCTTTGCACTCAGAAAAGCCAGAAAGGCAATGGGAAGACAAGATGAGGGAATGCACACACCCTCTGCAGACCCCCGTGTTTTGCTCAGCATTGTACATGTACTGCATGCTGCACATAAGTGTATTCCTTACACATAGAGGTGGGTGACAATCTGTAGCCTTTTGTCAATTTAATTTCTGTCATCATTTTAGAATTACTTAAGAATCATTGGTGCGGCACATGGACGGTTGCACTATTGGTAGCATGACAGAGATGGAGTAGACGATACAGTCACTCAGCTGAAATAACATGCTTTCTCCTCCCATTGTCACCTCTGCTTTCCATTCACGAGACATATACAATGATGAGGAATGTCAGAAGACTCCAAGGGAATTTTGCTTATGTTCATTTTAGTTGTGATATATAGCATACGATTCCTAAGCTTTAAAACATGGGAGAACCTGTACGTGTTAGGCAAATGTCGGACCACCTCCAGCCTGCCTTTAGAAGTTTGCTTCTCAAACATGTAGAAATGGGGATGTGGTTTAGTGGAAGATACTTGCCTAACATATTCAAGGTCGTGGGTTCCATGCCCAGAAAAGAAAGAAAACTCTAAAAAGCCTCACACACAAAACTCAAGTTTGTGTAACAGCTGATAC